GTTGGTCAGGTCTCGCCCCGGGGAAGCCGGCAGCGTGGGTCCCCTGGAGCTTGGGTCAGAAGGAGCAGGCCTCCTCACACCCCCCACACCCCCCAGCTGGGCCTTTTTCTTTTTTTCTTGGTGATGGTCCTGGGCTTGAACTCAGGGTCTCAGGTTCTCACCAGCCTTTTCTGCTCAAGGCGAACGCTCTACCACTCAGGCCACGCCTTCACTAACGGCTTTTTGCTGGCTTGTTAGAAGTAAGAGTCTCTGGGATTTGTCTGCCCAGGTGGACTTGGAACCTTGCTGCTCAGATCTCAGCCTCCTGAGTAGCCAGGACTAGGAGCGTGAGCTGGGTCTTTGTTGGGCCATGGGGCTCAGGCCCTTTCAGTGATTTGCACACACAAATTGCCCATGCTAAGTGCTGTTCAAGCTCCCCGCTCCCAGACAAGAGCTGATTCCCCAGAAAGCTCTCCCCGGCATAGGGCAGTGCCCACAGGCAGCTCCTGTTCTTAAGTGACACATGTGTTCAAATTTAAAGTCCCTTTGCCTGTGGTTAGTAACATTCTGGAGCAGGTTCTGGTAATGTAGAATCGCAGGTCCTGGGAGGGGATGCTAAGGCCAGGGGTAGAACAGGGAAGGACGCAATTAGCCAAGAGGAGACACCTCCCTGAGCTGGGTTTGGAAGGTTGAAAAGAAGCCAGTCAGAGAGGGGGAATTCCGAGAGGAAAAAAGAGGGAGAGGAGGGGCTGGGAAGGTGGCTCAGTGGCAGAGCGCTTGCCTTGCATGCATGAGGCCCTGGGTTTGATTCCTCAGCACCACATAAGCAAAAAAAGAAAAAAGCCAGAAGTGGTGTTGTGGCTCAAGTGGTAGAGTGCTAGCCTTGAGCTGAAGAGCTGAGGGACAGCGCCCAGGCCCAGAGTTCAGGCCCCACGACCGGACCCCCCAAAAAAAAGAGGGAGAGGAAAGGAAAACGAATTCCATGCAGAAAGACATGCAAATGAGCTATATCAAGGCAAAAAAAAAATCTTACAGAAGATGCAAGGTTGGGGGATCCTAGGAGCTGAAATTGAATAAGTAAGAACCAGAGAAAGCTGTGTGTGTGTGTCTCATGGGGCTTGAACTTCCTCAGCTCTTCAGCTCAAGGTTAGGGGTTCTACTTACTTGAGCCACAGCGTCACTTCCGGTTTTCTGGTGGTTTATTGGAGATGAGTCTCACGGATTTTCCTGCCCTAGCTGGCTTTGAACCGCAATCCTCAGATCTCAGCCTCCTGAGTAGCTAGGATGACAGGTGTGAGCCACCAGCCCCTAACTTGAAAAATAGATTTTTATACATATGGGGCAGAATTGACTTTTGTATTTTAGAAAGGTCATTCTTTTAAAGGTTGGCTTATATCAAACTAGAAAGAGGAAACCCTCAAGAACTTAGAAGTGGAAGCAGTGGGGAAGAGAGCACCAGCTATCAAAGTGTTCCCAGGTGGAAATGACAGGTGTGGTGTCAGCTGAATGTGGGCCACAGAATGAGAAGAGGAATCTAGAAGGTGTCACAATGGAATAATCTGAAAACTTGGTTTTTATCCAAGGCTTATGTGGAAAGCCAGAGCCTTACCCGCAGGTAGCCTTGTGTTGCTGCTCTCAGGTGCATCCGCTGTGCTCTGGGCTGGATCCTTTTCTTCTGGGGTCAAGTGCTTAAAAAATTACAAGTCCCAAGTGAGTTTTGCAGAAGCCTGAATGAGATGAGTTTTAGTGAAACAAGTATGGATGCGCTTGGTAGTGTCACTGAAAGGTAAACTCAAAAGAATAAGAGTATTTATAAATCATATTAGCTCAGGACCTTTTTTTTCTTTTTGGTCAATTGTGGGACTTGAACTCAGAGCCTGACCACTGTCTCTGAGCCTGTTGGTTCAAGGCTAGTGTTCTACCACTTTGAGCCTCAGCTCCACTTCCAGTTAATTGGAGATGATAGTCTCACAGACTTTGCTGCTCAGGCTGGCTTTGAACCATGATCCTCAGATCTCAGCCTCCTTAGTAGCTAGGATTACAAGTGTGAACCACCAGTGCCTGGCTGATAAGGGATTTTTAAATTCAGAGTCAAGAACTCAACTCTGCTGAGGGTGATGTCTTACACTTGTGATTCCAAGTTCTTGGGAGGCACACATTGGGAGGACTGTGATTAGAAGCTAGGCTGGGGAAAAGTTAGCAAGACTTTAAGTGAGTACAGTGGTGTGTGCTTCTCAGCTGTGTGGGAGGCTAGAATCAGATGGATTATAGCTGTAGGCCAGCCTGGGCAAAGAAGTTAGTGAGACTCCATTTCAACAGAGAGAAGCTAGGCATGGTGGTATGCACCCAGTATCCCAGCTATAAAGGAAAGCCTAAAATAGGACTGAAGACAAGGTATGTTCCTGGGCAGGAAGGGAAACCCTGTCTCAAAACCCACCAGTCATAAAAGGGTGGTAGGGGGGCTGGGAAGGTGGCTCAGCGGTAGAGCACTTGCCTTGCATAGATGAGGCCCTGGGTTCAATTCCTCAGCACCACATAAGCAGAAAAGCCAGAAATGGCACTGCGGCTCAAGTGGTAGAGCACTAGCCTTCAGCTGAAGAGCTGAGGGACAGCGCCTAGGCCCCAAAACTGACCAAAAAAAAAAAAAAAGAAATTTTAAAATGGACAAAGGATGTGTATACATGGGCAACATGGGCATGTGCACGCCAGTCCTAGGGCTTACACTTAGGGCCTGGGTGCTGTTCCTGAGCTTTTTTGCTTAAGGCTGCCACCTCTACCATCTGAGCTACAGCTTTACTTCCAACTTTTTGATGGTTATCTCAAGATAAGAGTCTTCATGGCTGAGAATGTGGCTTAGTGGTAGAGTGCTTGTCTAGCATACATGAAGCTCTGGGTTCGATTCCTCAGTACCACAGACACAGAATAGGCCAGAAGTGGTGCTATGGCTTAAGTGGTAGAGCACTAGCCTTGAGCCCAAGCTTAGGGACAGTGTCCAGGCCCTAAGTTCAAGCCCCAGGACTGGCAAAAAAAAAAGTCTTCATGGACCTTGCCTTCATGAGCTGGCATCATATCTTAAATCTCAGCCTCCTGAGTAGCTAGGATGACAGGTGTGAGTTTGGCACACAACTTGGACAAAGGATCTGAATAGACATTTCTCTAAAAACACCTAACTTGCCAATACACATATGAAGAATGCTCCAACATCTTACTCAGTAGGAAGTGCAAATTGAAGCCACTATGAGACACCACTAGGGTTGCAATAGCAACAATAAAGCGAAAAAATGACATTGATATGGATGTGAAGAAATTGGGCAGGAATATAAAATGATGCACTCATTTTATTAACATTTGGAATTTCCCCAGTGGGTAAATGGGCGCTCTGTGGTCCTAGTGCTTGAACTGTTGAAGCAGGGGATTTTTGTGTGTGTGCCAGTCCTAGGGCTTGAACTCAGGGCCTGGGTGCTGTCTCTGAGCTTTTTTTTTCTTCCTCAAGGACTACCATCCAAGGCTACACCAATGAGACCCTGTCTTGAGAGAAAGTGCTTTGTATGTGCAAAACCACACAACAGAGTGTTTCCATGCGATCCCAAAATTCTACTCTTAGATATATAATCAAGAGAATTAAACTTATGTCCACATAATTTTCATAAGCAAAAAAATGAGGATTGAAGTGTTCATCAGTTGATGAATAAACGTGATCTATCCATATAATTGGATAAATGAAATACTCATGCTCCAAATGAATGAGTCTTGGGAACATATTAAATGAAAGAACCACATGTTTTATAATTTCTATGAATTTCTGTGAAATTCTCTGCATTTCTATGAAGCATGAACAAGAAACAAATCCATAGAATGATGGAGTGTACATTAGTGGTTTCCAGGTCTTACAGGGAGAAAGAAGCTGGGACTAATTGCAACCTCACAGCCACAGGGCTCTTGTCAGTACAATGGAGATGTTCTGGAATTTGGTAATGGCTGTACAACAGTGAATATCCTTAAGAACCCTGAGTTGCACACTTTAAAATGGTAAATCTTATCATTTGAGAATTATGTCATAAAAAGATTTTCTAGCATATATTGTCTCCTTTTTGAAGTTGTCCTTAGAAAAGACTGTGCACATGAGGCGTAGGGCTCTGAGCACTGACAGCAGTGCACGTCTCTCCTTTATTATTGGGGCCCCCACAAGAGGCAGCCTGGCCTCCGATTTAGCTCTAGTCTGCACCTCCTAGGTAACAACGCTTTCCTTAGAAAACTATCTCCTTGCTAGCTCCTTTTTATTCAGGGTCCTCACTCCTTCCAGACCCATTGTTCTAACACTCAAGATTCCCACTGCTGTACAACCATGCCATGAATATACAACACTATTAAATCCATACCCTATTTATTTCATTTCTTCATAAACTAATGACTGTCGATGGTTTTGTTCTATATTACTCAAGAGAGTGATTCTATTTTTGCTCTAGATACAAAATCTGGGGGACAAGAGATTTAACTTAACCTTGATCTTGTAGTGTGCAGCTGGAGCCACTGGGTGGCACTCTTGTGCTGCTAACGATGATCACTTTGTGATGATTACCAGGAAGCAGCAGTAGTGATGACTGAGTGAAGGACAGGGTCTACCAGATGCCTAGTTGCTCTTCCTCTCCAGTCTTCCATAATCATGATGTTATTTGGCTTTGGAGCCCAGAGATCTCAGTACAGATCAGCCTTTCCATTTATTATCTATGTGCTCAGGCAAACTACAAAATTTTGTAACCAGTTTCTTTATCTGTAAAATGGGAAAACACTATCCAGACTCCTATTTGTGGAGATCAAAGTGGAAATTTTGATACAATTTAGGGATTCAGGAAATGTTCCTTCCCCCCCCCCATGTCAAACCTATGACCTATGACCTTGAGTTCACTAGCTATCTGTCAAGTTAATTGGGTTATGAATGGCCTGAGGGTACAAGCCATCACAAAGAATAAAGAAAAGAGGTCAGATCATTTCTTTTGCAGAGCTCACTGGATTATCAGAATTGTAAGCAAAAGGGATTCACTAAAACCCTCCTGGACCTTACTCTCCCCTGCCCATGTGCCCAGTTCTGTGAGGTGACACATGCCTTACCCAGAATATGTGCATGGCTGTAGATGTGGATGTTTGGAGTGAATTGAACTGTCCAAGTGCTAATCCCTAGGACCTGGGAATGTGCGCTTATTTGGGAAAGGGTCTTTGTAGATAGGATTCGAGTTTAGATCTGGATTGTCTTTCATGCTGGGTTTAGAGATATCCTTATGAAAGCAAGGCAGAGAAAGACTTGATGAGGAAAGGCTCAGAGGAGAATGAAGTAGGGACAAGTTATACAAGCCACAGACAAGATCACCTCCCACCTGAAGTGGGAAGAGGCAGGAAGCATTCTGCCTCTAGAGCCTCTAGAGGAAATGCAGCCCTGTTCATAGCTTGATTTTGGACCTCTGGTCTCATTCAAGAGTAAATTCTATTGTTTTTAAGCCATTATGTTTAAGATTCTATCTTATATCATTCCTGGAAAACTAGTTACATGGATAGATATTATTTTGAGATATGGACAGGCTGGGAGGTAGCTCAGTGGTAGAGCACTTGCCTTGCATGCATGAGGCCCTGGGTTCGATTCCTCAGCATCACATAAGCAGAAAAAGCCAAAAGTGATGCTGTGGCTCAAGAAGTAAAGTGCTAGCTTTGAGCTGAAGAGCTGAGAGACAATGCCCAGGCCCAGAGTTCAGGCCCACGACTGACCAAAAAGAAAAAAAAAAGAGATGTGGACTGTCGCTACCGCCTCGACCAGCAAGGAAGACGCGACACCGAACTCTTCTCTCTGCAGTTTATTCAGGACCTTTGAGCAATCTTCTGACCCCAACCCCGGGGAGAATTCCCCACAGCCTTAAGTACCCGATGGGTAGCCAACCCTGATACGCCACGTGGGAACCACCAATAGGTTCAGGTGCGAGGAAGCAAGCCAGATTCTTTGCCTTAGCCATATAAGGAGTTGTTTACCACAGAGAGCACTCGCCATCGGGAAGGCCGAGGGCGGAAGCCAGCGCCATCTTCCAGGTGCGGCCTCTCGCAGCTCTCTACAGTGGACAGACAGCAGCCCCCCCCCCCCAAATTAGCAGGAAATCAGTGGGATTATTCACAGAGGGTCAGCTGGGAGGAACAGTAGCCAAGGGCTCCTAGAAGGTGCCTACTGCCATGACAAAAGTGTGCTGGGAGCATTTACATCACTGTTGCCTCAGGCCTTTCCAGAAAAGGCCAGCCAACTTCATAGGTGTAGTGATTTGGGTGCCTGGACACCAAACTTCCCTATCCAATTAGTCAAGCAAAAGAAGGAGGGGGGAGATGTGGAGGACTTCCTAAAGGTCTTATTCTCAGAAACAATGTATAATTAAAAAAAACTTTAGTAAGATATATATATATATATATATATATTAAACTGAATACATGCACACACATGTACACATACAGTAAGTTCTGATAAGATGTTCATTCATGCATCCACGAACATATCCTTCATCTGTTTCCTGCTGCCCTCTAAAATCATTCACTGTAACTTGGCCTGGTGCTGTCCCTCAGCTCTTCACCTCAAGACTAGCACTCTACCACTTGAGCCACAGCGACACTTCCAGTTTTTCAGGGTTAATTGGAATATCCTGCCTGGGCTGGCTCTGAATTGCCATCCTCAGCTCTCAGCCTCCTGTGTAGCTAGGATTATAGGCATGAGTCAACAGCGCTGGCTAGCTATTTTTCTAATAGGATCTTCCTTTCTTTTTTTCTTTCTCTTTCTCTTTTCCTTTCCTTTCTTCCTGTAGTACTAGGGATTGTACTCAGAGCCTTCTGCATACTAGGCAAGCACTCAACCCCTCTTATTTTGAGATAGGGTCTCATAAAGTATCTATCTCACCTAAGAACTTGCAGTTTTTTGCTTTGGTCTTTCAAGTAGCTGAGATTACAGGAAATGAACAGCCATATCTAGCGGCTGTCCAATGTCTTGAGAGCCATTTTTTTCAGGTGTTATATCTGATTTTTTTTATTTCTGGTGGGAGGGCAAAGCCACTCTTGTTATCCCATCTTAGCCAAAAGCAATAATATTAATTTCACCTATAATCTCCTTCACTTACTCAACTTATACTTGAGTCCTAAAGTCAGCCTCACCAATGAGAGTAGAGGGAGCAGAAGGGAGGCTTTAATTGGACTAGTATTACTAGCTACACCTGGAAACTGAAGAGTGACAGAGTTTAGTTGCTATGATCTCCCTTCTCTTGTCTCAGAGGACTACAGACAGGCTGAAGTTCTTTGCTGTTTACCTCATAAAGGGTAAAGACCCACAACTTAGATCTCCAGTATCCAGAGGGAGCACTGGATTCTAACTACTAGATCACCAGGGAGCTTTCCTATACCCAGAAAGGTGGACAGATAAAGGCATTTATGTGTACATTTGTGTGTGTGTGTGTGGATGTGTGTGTGCTGGTCATGAGGGCTTGAATTCAGGGAGAGTTTTTTTTTTTGGGGGGGGGGGCGATCAGTCATGGGGCTAGAACTTAGGGCCTGGGCGCTGTCCGTGAGCACTTTTGCTCCAGGCTAGCACTCTACCACTTTGAGCCACAGAGTTCCACTTCCAGTTTTCTGAGGGTTACTTGGAGATAAGAGTCTCCTTGGCATTCCTTCCCAGCTGGCTTGAAACTGTGATCCTCAGAGCTCAGCCTCCTAAGTAGCTAGAATTACAGGCATGAGCCACCAGCTCCCAGCTCCAGAGCTTTTTGTTTTAACCCCATCTCAAGGCTAGCATTCTACCACTTGAGCCACAGCTCCACTTCCAGCTTTTTGGTGGTTAATTAGAGATAAGAGTCTCACAGACATTTCTATCTGGGCTAGCTTTGAACCACAATTCTTAGATCTCAGCCTGAGTAGCTAGGATTAAGGTTTAAGCCACCAGCCCCCAGCAAGTTATATTTTTAAGCAAGTAAAACTAAACATAAGAAACCTACAATAGGGGCTGGGAATATGGCTCAGTGGTAGAGTGCTTGCCTTGCATGCATGAGGCCCTGGGTTCCATTCCTCAGCACCACATAAACAGAAAAAGCTGGAAGTGGCACTGTGGCTCAAATGGTAGAATACTGTCCTTGGGCTGAAGAACTGAGAGACAAGGCCCAGGCCCAGAGTTCAAGCCCCACAACTGACAAAAAACAAAAAACCACCACAATATCATCACCATAACAGCAGCTGTGCACTTAGCAGATTATACACATTATCTTCAAACTTCACAATAGTAATTCTAGGTATTCCTATTTTACTGTTGAAGATAAAGGTTAAAAAATATCTTGTACCAGGGACATGGTTTCTCATGCTTGTAATCCCAGCTACTCAGGATGTGGAGATAAGGAAGGTAACAGTTCAGGGCCAGCCCAGGCAAAAAGTTAGCAAGACCCCATCTCAAGTTGGACACAGTGTTGCATTCCTGTAGTCCTGTCTACACAAGAGGCATAGATAAGGAAGATCACAGTCAAAGTCTCAGGCAAAAATAGGGGACTCTTATCTCCAAAAAGTTGGAAGTGGAGCTATGGCTTAGGTGGTAGAGTGTTAGTCTTGAGCAAAAAAAATAAAAACTCAGGGACATCACCCAGGCCTTCAGTTCAAGCCCAGAACCAGCACAAACACACAATACACCCTTAGTCTAACTATATCTCAACTTAGGTGTAACACTTTTCCCCATAGTTTTTCTAAATTACAGGCTTCTTTACTGATAGGTTAGTCTGAGATTGTACAATCTAAGCCATTTGTACCTTCTCACATATGAAAATGGAAGAGTCCCAACAAAGTACTGATTACTACACTTACCTGCTTCGTGTCACATGAGCAGTGGTGAAAAAGTCGGTGCTGGGTGATACCATGAAATATTTTGTGTAGTTTGGTTCCAAGCTCCTGGCTGTCAGATGCCTAAAATATGTCAGAGATACACAGTGCTGAGTCCTGGTACTCACAGGAAGTTTAAATGCTGAGGCAGACAGGACACTGACATCCCTCTCATTGGATACTCGATGTTACACAAGTAGTTATGGCTCCTATTTATCTTCCCTTTTCTTACCCAGCAAGATCCTTCAATCAAGGTCTTTGCTATCCTATGTCTGCTACAGTAGATAAATGTCCCAGAGATCCTTCTGTTCATGAAGGGGTTATAGAAATGGTTCTTAGCTGGATGCCAGTGGTTCATGCCTGTCATCCTACCTACTGAGGAAGCTAAAATCTGAGGCCTCTGATTCAAAGCCAACTTAAGAGGCTGAGAAGGTGGCTCAGTGGTAGAGTGCTTGCCTTGTATGCATGAGGTCCCGGGTTCAATTCCTCAGCACCACATAAGTAGAAAAAGCCGGAAGTGGCACTGTGGTTCAGGTGGTAGAGGGCTAGCCTTGAGCTGAAGAGCTGAGGGACAGCGCCCAGGCCCAGAGTTCAGGCCCCCATGACTGACAAAAACAAACAAACAAACAAAAAAACAAAGCCAGCCTAAGCAGGAAAGTCCATGAGACTTATCTCCAGTGAACTACCAAAAAGCCAGAGCTAGAGCTGTAGTTCAAGTGGTAGAGCACTAGCCTTGAGCAAAATGCTCAGGAACAGTGCCCAGGTTCTGAGGTCAAGCCTGAAGAACACACACACACACACACGTTCTTCTGTAAGACAAATTCACACACACACACACACACACACACACACACACACACGTGTTCTTCTGTAAGACAAATTCCAAAAGAGCAGAGGCTCCATTGAACTACTGAGGTTCACAGGAAAGCTCTTCCTCAGACAAGCCTTTAGGGGAACAATACAGTCTGCACCCAGGGAAACATGGAAGCCTTAGACACTTTCAGATAGAATAGGATATGTCCTAAAAGTAGGACAGAGTCATCACCTAAGTTCTATAGTCATCATCTAAGTTCAGTTCTATAAATTCTTGGAGGGGGGTGGTGAGGGAGTCGTGGAGCTTGAACTCTGGGCCTGGGCATTGTCCCTGTGTTCTTCAGCTCAAGGTTAGCACTCTACCACTTGAGTCACAGTGCCACTTCTGGTTTTCTGGTGGTTTATTGGAGATCAGAGTCTTTCCTGTCTGGGCTGGCTTTGAACCATGATACTCAGATCTCAGCCTCCTGAGTAGCTAGAATTACAGATGGGAGCCACCAGCACCCAGCTAAATCTCAGCTTTTCCTTTCCTTTTTTTTTTTTCCTTTTTTTTGTCGGTGAGCTACTCAGGAGGCTGAGAGCTGAGGATCATGGTTCAAAGCCAGCCCAGGCAGTAAAGTGTGAGACTCTCCAATAAACCACCTGAAAACCGGAAGTGGCTCTGTGGCTCAAGTGGTAGAGCACTAGCCTTAATTAAGCTGAAGCGTTGAGGGACAGGGCCCAGACCCCAAGTTCAAGCCCCACGACCAACAAAAATAATAATAAAAAAATTCTCACAGTGAGGCTGGAATAAGAGCTTAGGGACTGACAGAGCTGGCTTTGGTGAGGCTCTTCAGGTCTGTGGACTGCTTATTTCTCCCTATGTCCTACCATGGCAGAAGGAGCAAGGGTCCCCATGTGGCCTCTTTTATTTTTTTAAATTTTGAATGTTTTATTCACATGTATGTGTGCATGTATATACGTGTGCATATATGTTTGTTTGTAGTTGTGGGTGGGTTCCAGGCTTGAACTCAGGGTCTTGTATCCTCTCTTAGCTTTTTCACTCATCACTTTTTCACTCTACCCCTTGAGATTCATCTCCAGTCCAGCATTTTGATAGTTAATTGGAGGTGGAATCTCAAAGACTTTTTCTTCAGGCTAATTTTGAACCATCATCCTCGTTCCTCAGACTCCTGAGTAGCTAGGATTACAGGTGTGAGCTATAAGTATTCAGTTGGCGGTTTTATTATGAGCACTAATCTCAGGCTGGGAAGGTGGCTCAGTGGTAGAGCGCTTGCCTTGCATGCATGAGGCCCTGAGTTTGATTCCTCAGCACCACAGAAGCAGAAAAAGCCGGAAGTGGCACTGTGGCTCAAGTGGTAGAGCGCTAGCCTTGAGCTGAAGAGCTGAGGGACAGTGCCCAGGCCCAGCGTTCATGCCCCATGACCCAACCACAAAAAAAATTAAAAAAAAAAAAACAAAAAAAAAGAGTCCTAATCTCATTAATGAAGATGGAGCCTAAGATCATTATCTTGAGGGTTACAATTTCAACATATAAACCTTGGGGAGATATCAACATTTAGATAGTCGCATACATTTTGCCTTCACCCAATGAGTGTTTATAATTTTTTTCCACCAATTTGTCCACAAGGCTCAGAAAAATTACATGCAGGCACAAGTCCACACAGCAAGTGAATTAGTCAAGATTTGAACCCTTGCCCCAATCCCAAACTCCTATTATCCTACACCATCACAATAGTTATGGATGCTTAGTTATTTCAGTGTATTCTGTCACCATGAAGTAGCAAAGAATTCCAAAGAATTTGGAATTACAGACCTAATCCTAGCTCTTTCTTAACTAGCTATGTGACCTAAAGGAACTACAAATCTTAACTTTTCACACTTAAAAAATATTATGCATACTATTATTCATTCAGTAAATGCTTCTTAAAATACTTAAGACACATACTCTGTAGGATCCCAGTAGAAGCAAATAATGTTTCTAAAAGTACTGTTCCTAAAAGTAATGCTTCTAAAAGACAGGTAGGAGCATGTCATTGAAACCATGGCATTTATAAACATCCCAATCTTACTAACCTGAAAGGCCTGGAGACATGTTTTTCTGAAGCTGTTGCTGGTGCTTCCAGTCACCACACTCATGATGGAATTCACAGCCACCGAGAGTGAGGCCTGCAGTTTCTGAGAAGCCTAGGGAACAGATCTGCCAGCTCAGAGACTCCCCAAGAGGACAAAGGGTTCAGCCATAGTGGGACATTAACAGTCCTTCCCTCCCACCAAATCTTACTGCTATCTTTCTGTTATGATCCTTAGGGATTAAAGTAAACTTTTAAAAATGCTCCCTCTTGGCCAGCTACAATCCTAGCTACTCAGAAAGCTGAAATCTGAGAATCGTGGTTTGAAGCCAGTCTGGGAAGAGAAGTCCATGAAACTCTTATCACTACTTAACCACCAGAAAACAGGGGTTGCAGTGACTCCAAGTGGTAGAGCATTAGCCTTGAGGGAAAAAGATGAAGGACTGCACCAGGCAGGAAAGTCTGTGTTGAAGCCCCTTGACTGACAAAAAAAAAAAAAAAATCTTCTTCCACAGCAATGACTTATTGACACAACAACTCAGAAAAAAAAGTAAGATAATGAACAACAAATAGTTATATTTTTTAAAATTTCTGTGAAAGGAGGGGAACTATATGAAGAAATATGTTACCAAAAAAGATGAGATAGAGAAACTCAGAGGGGGCTGGGAAGGTGGCTCAGTGGTAGAGCGCTTGCCTTGCATGCCTGAGGTCCTGGGTTCTATTCCTCAGCACCACATAAGCAAAAAAAGAAAAAAACCCAGAGAAACTCAGAAAGTCGGCTAGAAGAGAACTTAGTATTATAAAGAATTAGGGGGACTGGGAAGGTGGCTCAGTGGTAGAGCACTTGCCTTGCATGCATGAAACCCTGGGTTCAATTCCTCAGCACCACATAAGCAGAAAAGGAAGTGGCGCTGGAAGTGGCACTGTGGCTCACGTGGTAGAGTGCTAGCCTTGAGCTGAAGAACAGCGCCCAGGCCCAGAGCTCAGGCCCCACCACCACCAACAAAAAAAAGAGGAAAATGGAGGAAGAAGGAAAGGCTTAGTGAAGCAGCAGCTCCAGAGGATGTGTAGGACAAGGCCACATAAAGGTAAGGAAGAATGTAGTATTAGTCATTTTTCTATATTATTTCTGTTCCTGTTTGCTCAAACTCATCTCACAGGAGGTAAGACTAAGTGAAAGCCTGAGCTCCTAGATGAGGGGTTACAACATCACCCCAGGTAGCAGAAGAGGATCAGAAGGGGCACTAAAGGAAGAAGTCTTAAGCCTTATGGCAATGTATATTCCTTTATTCTTAGAAGGTAGGAGAGAGGAAGTTGTGAAATTTGTATTACCTGGGAAGCAAGATGCTGCTGCTCCAAGACTTGATCCACAGTGAACTGGATGGAATCTTGTACCACACTGTGGCTCTCCATGAGAATAGCATTGAGATGAGCTGTGAGCAGAGTGTGCACTCCTAAAAGGACACAGCATATTAGTAACCATGAGTAAGGATGACTGCAAGATCGCTGTTCATATCCTCTGAGTCGGGGCTAAGATTGAGGAAGGTGCCTCTAGAAAGAATCACTTCTATCTAACCACTAATAATTCTGCTTTTAGACATGCCCTTTCATTTCCCAACTGCCAATGAGAAAAAGCTCAGGAAAATTAAAATGAAGAATTATACTTTTTGAAGAAATAAATGAGGGATCCTGCATAATTCATGCTATCAACAATGATAAGAGTGAACCCCTAAAGGAGAGGCGGAGAGAGGGGAAGCTGCCTGGACAACATGTCTAATCCCCTCCATTCTAGTTGGGAATCACTGTTGAGGTGGGCCACTATTATCAGTAGTATGTTATTTCTTTCAGATGTGCTGTGGTTAAAAAAAAAAAGGCTAAGGGGGCTGGGAAGGTAGCTCAGCGGTAGAGTGCATGCCTTGCAAGCATGAGGCCCTGGGTTCGATTCCTCAGCACCACATAAACAGAAAAAGCTGGAAGTGGCGCTGTGGCTCCAGTGGTAGAGCGCTAGCCTTGAGCTGAAGAGCTGAGGGACAGCACCCAGACCCAGAGTTCAGGCCCCATGATTGGCAAAAAAAAAAAAAAAAAGGCTAAACCAGATATATATAATCTATATATAATCCTAGCTGTTAAGAAGGCTGAGATCTGAGGATTGTAGTTCAAAGCTAGTCTGGGCAGGAAAGTCTGTGAAATTCTTATCTCCAGTTAACCACTAAAAAAGCTGGAAGTGGAGCTGTGGTTCAAGTGGTAGAGTGCTAGCCTTGAGTAAAAAAGAAAAGAAAAGAGCTCAAGAATAATGCCCAGGCTCTGAGTTCTAGCCCTAGGACTAGCATAAAAAAAGAGGGGAAAAAAGCCATGATGAAGCAATCTGAGGTTGGCTGGCTTTTCTTAGGACTTGATTAGAAATATTAGTTCAAGGCAGGTGCCAGTGGCTTACACCTGTAATCCTAGATATTCAGAAGGCTGAGATCTGAGGATCACAGTTTGAAGCCAGCTTGGGCAGGAAAGTCAAAGCCAGAAGTAGAGCTGTGGTTTAAGTGGTAGAGCAACTAAAGGACAACAACCAAGCTCTGAGTTCAAACCCCAGGACAGGAACATAACAAGAATGAACAAAAGAAAGAAAAGAAGGAAGAAGGAAGGAAAACAGGCCTACAAAGAGCACATTTCCCAACAAAGTACCATGAGGATTTCTGGTAGAGAAAGTTGGTTATATGTGGATTTAAAAGAAGTCTGGAATGCTGGGTGCTGGTGGTGCACACCTGTAATCCTAGCTACTCACAAGGCTAAGATCTGAGGATCGTGGTTTAAAGCCAGCCCGGGCAAGAAAATCCATGAAACTCTTTATCTCCAATTCACCAACAGAAAACTGGAAGTGGCTCTGTGGCTTGAATTGAAGAGCTCAGGGACAGTGCCCAGGCCCACAACTGACCAAAAATAAAAATCTGGAATTAGATGTAGGAGAACATAGACTTGAAGTCAGTTCAACAACCAACTACCAGTGACAAAGTCATGTCACCTGTCGTCTCTCTTTAAGACAGAAAATGGCTATATCCTACTTGCCCTCTCAGATATGTTGAATAGATAAATTGAGATAATGTAAATGAATTATCTTGAATATATATTCAAATAACTGCTGTTGCTATGATGATATAGCATATGGGTTACTATTTTCTACAGTTTGGCCCTAGAAAAGCCTCAAGAAATCAGATCCCTTTTAAGAACAAACATTTAATTAAAAAGTCAAGGTTCATTCCTAAAACTGCTTTTGACATTGTAGCAAACTGGTAATGAGTTAATCATAGAAGAGTTACCATGACAAGGTGGGAAGAAGGCCAATTAAATATTTTTTTAAAGACAAGTGGAATCAGACTGTAATTTTGCACAATCTGTTTGCTAAAGAAAGGGACACGGGAGAAAGCTTTCAAGGACCTAAGAAAAGATGAAAGGAGACAAGTAAAATAATCTCCATCTACTTTCCTTCACTGTTTATCTTCTTCAGAGGCTAGTCGTAAACTACCAGATATGTAAGATTTTAAAAGAAATTTATCTTCTTCAGAGGCTAGTCGTAAACTACCAGATATGTAAGATTTTAAAAGAAACTTGCTGTGTTTACTATTCAGTGATAGATTTCTTTTTAATCCCAAACTGAGTACAAATACTGAGATGCTGCAGGCTTTCAGAATTACATTGAACACTGATGTAAACGTTTTCATAATACTACAAGAATGACATTTCTGGGTTCTTAAGGTATGTTCAATAGAACTCAAAACACATCAGGCTTATATTATCTTACCATAATCCTCTGGCAGAAGCTAAAAAAAAACGTCAGAGAATAGCAGATCTTAAGCCTCAAGGGATCTTTAGTGCTGGAAGGTCCTCTGATATCACCAAACTTAACAATCTCATGTTAAAGACATAAAAAGAAAGCCTCAGATGATTTCCGTGACTTGCTTTCTGAATATCACTGAGGAAGTTGATATTGGAGTTAAAATTAAATCAGTCTTCTCAGTTCTTTCCTGAAATTCTCTGTGTGTACAGATCAGACAACAAATCCAGGAATCCTCACAAGAGCCCACCTTGTTAGATTTCATTAGTCTAGATTTCATTCCCATTTCCCAGCTCTTAATCAGTGGAACAGAAGCACCAAAGAATACCATCTTCTCAAAACCAATTTCAATCCTGAGCCTCTTAGAAGAGCACCGCTTCTCTTCCAAGGGTGTATATAATGGGAAAAAGATATCTCTCTCCAGGAAGCAGGGAGAATCTCACAGCTGATAATAAGTAACTGGCCTGATCACTTTTCAGCCTTTTAGCCAGGATCAAATATACAGATTATTGGCCAGCAACAGTGTTTCTGATCTGGGGTAAAGTGGTCTTGTTGCTCCCATGATGCAGAGTGGACAGCGCCACATGGAAAAAACAGTAGAATACTTGGAGGGCAAGCCCTGTGGAAAGAACACTGGCTCACATAAAAGGAATACTAAAAGGGAGACTTTTTCAACTCTTCCTCAAACACAATAAGCTCTCCTTATAACTGCCCTCTAATTTGAGAGTTATCTTGATAAACACTTTATTAAAGTCTTATTAAACTTGCATCCCATGATTTATTACACTAAGATTGATGACATAACTCTTACTTCCAAACCTTACTATATTTGAGAATTATCTGAGAATCTTGTTGAAAATGCAAATTATTGAGCCACATTAGATTTTTACATTATAGCAAATAACAACCCAGGTAGTTGCATGTTTTCAAAGGATCTAGATCATTTTGATGATATGACTCACAAGCCACAAACTGTTGCTTTGCTTCTAATAGAACCTTTCTGATAACAAGTTAACATGTGTGATAGATAAATGCCAAAGCCCTGCTACTTGTGTTCCTAGACAAGATCAGGCTACTTTTCTTTTTCTTTCTTTCTTTCTTTTTTTTTTTTTTTACAGGCGTGAGCCATGGGCCCCTGGCTTTAGAATCCACTCCTTTGTATACCATACTTTAGTCAGTTTGTATGTATGTATGTGTATACATATGTATATGGAAAAGCCATACTTTTTTTTTTTTGGTCGGTTGTGGGGCTTGAACTCTCGGCCTGGGCGCTGTCCCTCAGCTCTTCAGCTCAAGGTGAGAGCTCTACCACTTGAGCCACAGCGCCACTTCGGTTTTCTAGTGGTTTATTGGATATAAGAGTCTCACGGATTTTCCTTGCCCGGGCTGGCTTTGAACCGTGATCCTCAGATCTCAGCCTCCTGAGTAGCTAAGATTACAGGCGAGAGCCATCGGCGC